ATCAGATATTAATATAGATTCTCTTGCTTTATTTTTATTAATATTTGCATGATATGTCTTTTTCATCCATTTTTGCCTTCAACCTGCTTATATTATTATATTTGAAATGAGTTTTTGTAAACGGCATCTAGTTAGGTCTTGTTTTTTAAGCCACTCTGCCAATCTCTGTCTTTTGATTGCTGTGTTTGGCCAAATTACCATTAATGTAATTATTGGTATATTAGAACTTAAGTTTGCTATTTTAAAACTATTTATTTATTTGGCTGCATCGGGTCTTAGTTGCGGCATGCGGGATCGTTGTTGCAGCATGTGGGATCTTTCGTTGCGGCGTGTGGGCTTCTCTCTACTTGTGGTGTGTGGACTCTAGAGCTTGCGGGCTCAATAGCCCCACAGCGCATGGGATCTTAGTTCCCCAACCAGGGATCGCACCTGCATCCTCTGCATTGGAAAGTGGATTCTTAACCACTGGACCACCAGGGAAGTCCCAGTTTACTATTTTTTCATTTTTGATTTGCTATTTGTTCTCTGTTATTTGTGTCTATTTTCTGTTTTCTGCCTTCCTGTGGGTTATATGAACACTTTCTAATAATTCCATTTTGATTCTTCTGTAATGTTTTTGAGTGTGCTTCTTTTTATAGCTTTACAGTGGTTGCTCTAGGCATTACTTTTTACACACACACACACACACACACACACATTTTACCAGTTAGAATGAAATGTAGAAACCTTACCTCCCTTTATGTCCCTTTACCCTCCCCAATTTATAATACAGTTTGTCTTAAAATTTTTCTCTACACACATTTAGAACCACATCAAACAGTACTATATGTATATATATATTTTTTTTTTTTTTTTTTTTTTTTTTTTTGGTTCGCGGGCCTTTCTCTTTTTTTTCCTTTCCTTTTTCAGAGCACAGGCTCCAGCTGCGCAGGCTCAGCAGCCATGGCTCACGGGCCCAGCCGCTCCGCGGCATGTGGGATCTTCCTGGACCGGGGCACGAACCTGTGTCCCCTGCATCGGCAGGCGGACTCTCAACCACTGCTCCACCAGGGAAGCCCCAGACAGTACTATATTTTTGCTTCAGCCATCATACAGAACTTAGGAAACTCAAAAGGAGAAGAAAAATGTATTTATCCAGATTTTTACTCTTTCTGTCCTTCCTTCCTGATGTTCCAGTATGCCTCCTTTTATCATTTCCTATGTGTATAGAGAATTTCCTTTAGCCATTCTTTTAGAGTAGTTCTGCTAGTGGCAGTTTCTCTTGATTTTTCTTCATCTGTGAACGTCTTGATTTCCTCTTCATTCCTGAAGAATATTTTCACTGGGTATAGGACTCTGGGTTGACAGTTCTTTTCTTTCAGCATATGAAAAATGTTATGCCACTTCCTTCTGATCTCTGTAATTTCTGATGAGAAGTCAGCTGTCATTTGAATTGTTTTTCCCTTTCTGTAATGTAGTGTTTCTCTCTTGTTGCTTTCAAGGTTTTTTTATTTGTCTTTAGTTTTCAGAAATTTGACTATGATGTTTTTTGGTATGGTTTTCTTTAGGTTTATCCTGTTTGGAGCTCACTCACCTTCTTGAATCTGTATGTTTATGTCTTTTGGGAAGGTTGTAGCCATTATTTCTTCATGTACTTTTTCTGTCCTGCCTATTCTCCTTTCCTTCCAGGATCCATAACAAAAGCATTAGATCTTTTATTATAGCCCCACAGTTCCCAGAGGCAGTGTTTTTTGTTTTTTTTCCTTTTTCCCCAGTCTATTTTCTCTCTGTTTTTCAGACTGGGTAATTTCTATTCTTCTGTCTTCAGGCTCACTGATTCTTCTCTCAGTCCCCTCCATTCTGCTGTAGATTCTATCCATTGAGTTTTAAAATTCTGGTTATTGTATTTTTCAATTGTAAAATTTCCATTTGGTTCTTTCTTATATCTTCTATTTCTTTGCTGAGACTTTCTAGTTCTGAGACTTTCTATTTTTTCATTTGTTTCAAATGTGTTCATAATTGCTCATTGAATTATTTTTATGATGTCTGATTTCAAATATTTGTTAAATAATTCTGTCATCATGATTTTGTCATCTAATTGTTGCCTTTTCTCATTCAAGTTGAGGTTCCTGGTTCTTGGTATGATGAGTAATTTTATATTGAAATCTGAATATTTGGGGTATTATGTTATGAAACTCTAGGTCTTGTTTTAACCTTCTATTTAGCTGGCTTCTTGTGATACCACTCTGGCAAGGTATGTGGAGGGGGGTGCTGTCTACCCCAGATTGGGGTAGAAGTCCAGGTTCCCCACTCAGCATCCATGGACACCCAAGGAAAGAGGGGCTTCTCATTACTGCTGGTCATGGTGGGAGTTCCTACACCCCACTAGGTCTCTGCTTGGACTGCTCTGACTGTGATGGTGAAGGATGCCTTGTTACTGCTCTCTACTTGGCCTCCATGATATCATGAGCAGGGCAGCGGTAAAAGTCCTGACTCTCCACTAGGCCTCCTCTGAAACTACCCCAGTAAAGAGAAGGGTATCTCCTTACTGCTAGGTGGGGGTGGAAGTCCAGACTCCCCATGTCTGGTACTGCCTGGCAGGGATGAAAGTCCCTCCTCCCCACTGGCCTCTGACACTACCCGCAGCAGGGGAGTTGTGCCTCATTTTCCTGGTGAAAGTGGAAGTGTGGGCTCCCAGCTTGACCTTTGCTGACATGAGTGGGGTGAAGCCACAGTTTTTTCTATGGCGTTTGGCTGGAATAAAGTGGGTAATGTCTGAAAGTTTTCTTTCTTGCTTGGTTGTCCTTTTCTTGGTTCTCTGTATAGAGTAAAAAGCCTTTTGTCTATGCTTCTTGGTGTTGTCTAGGTTGCCAGCTTCTTCAGCTTTAAGTCTAGGATATATGAGGCTACAAGAGAACCTAGGAAACCACAACCGTGTGGTTCTTCAGGTCCTGAGTTACCTAGCTGATCTGACTTCTTTCTACCTTTCAGAGTCTTCTTATGTTTGTTTTATATATAATGTCCAGGGGTTTTAGTTGTACTTGGTAGGAGAAATAGGGAAAAGTATGTCTACTTTATCTTCCTGAATGCAGAAGTCAGTTTTCCCATTTAAAAAAAATAATAGGTGTATGTTTGCATTTTCCCAGTCTTCAAGTATACTTAGCTTCCATTGGGAGTAGGAAAAGGAAAAGAGTTTATGGAGGATGAAAAGAATCGTTATTTTATCAGAAATTTATTTTTAAAGCATTTTACTTTTTATCTCATGTTTTTAATCATTTAAATATATTACCTCTAAAAAACTGCTGAGTTCAAAATAAAATATTTAATTCTTTTTTATACAGTGTTAAAGGAAGTTTAAAAGGGAAAAAACTCCATAGACACAATTTTTCCTGTGTTCCTTTCCAGTTTTTTCTATATTTACATTTCCCATAGTATGTGTTATGTTTATACACATATATATACATATATATTATTTATTGTTCCACGGTCTTACTTTAATAAGTATTTAATGTTGATGAATAGTCTTCATACCACTTTCAAGTTGGTTTATCTTTAATCCTCTTAGCCATTTCTGTGTCTCCATTTAATCACTATTTTGAATACCATGGTCCTGAGCATTATTATACAATCAGCTTTTTTCTTCTTGTCAGTTATTTTATTTCAGTAAATTCATTGGTGTGCAATTATTCAGTCAAAAGATCTGAACACCTTTATGGCTCTTCATCCGTATTGCCAAACTGCCTTCTTGAAGAATTTGAGCACCAACTATAATTTGTGAAGCATCCTGTGCTAGGCCCCACAGTACCTGAAACAAATTTAAGATTAAGGGAATAAAAATAAAATAAGCATACTTGTGTTCACTCTACTTTTCATTCATACTGTCTAACTGTGAAAAGTACATTCCCTCCCCTTGGCTTCTATGGCTCACAGCCTTTTAGTTTTCCTCCTCCCTCTCTGGCTTCTGAGTCTCCTCTTCAGGCCTCTTCCCTCTGCTTGTTCCTCACAAGTCTTTAGGCTTCTGTCCAGAATGATCCTCCTCCTCTTACTTTCCCGCTTCTCCCTGGCTCATCTTATCTAATCCCAAGGTTTCTGCTCACATTCCTCTGTATCTGTATCTTCACCCCAGGCATGTCTCCAGTCTATACCTATATTCCCCCTTCTTGGGCTACCATCCACTTGCCCATTTGCCCCAGTCAGAAATCCAGGTGTCACTCATTATTCCTTTTTCTCCCTCACCTGCGACGTCCAGCAAATGACAGATCCTATCAATATTGTCTTCTAAATATCTCTAGAATCCATTCCTCCTTTCCATCCCCACCATCCTATTCTAGTCACTGTTGTTTAGTACGCAGATCACAACAATCTCTCAGCTGGTTTCCCTGCCACACAGATTACAAATGATGTTTCTAAAGCACACTCTCTCTTTTGCCTCTGGGCTTTTACCTATCTTATTTATTAAGTCATCCAACAACCCATCCTCCAACATATACACACACGGGCAAGTATGCACACATCCCTACCTTCACATTTGCCTAGCTTGTGCGTACTCATCCATCAGGCCTCAGATTACTTACTACTAACTTAATATAATCACTTGTTAACTTATCCTTATTTTTCACTAAATTGTAAGCTCCTTAGGGACAGGGATTATGTCCTGTTGTAGCCCTAGTGCCTGCCAAAGTGCCTGGTGCTTACTGAGTGATTTTTTAAAAATCTTTATAAGCTGTATCTGCCCAATGCCATACTAAAAGTTGGAAAAGTGAAAAACTCACTTAAACTGGTTGTTTGTCTATACCTGTAGACAAAAATCCATGATGGGTCATTTCCCTGAATATGAGTAAAAACGATATGACTCATTTGTTTTTAAAGTTTATTTCCAAGAATAAGATAACTGCTCTGCTATAGAATTCAAGTTGAAAATCTTGCTCACAGCACTTTCTTTACTGGTAGATATTTTCCCTCCATATTCTGCTAGTATAATGAGCATTTTGATAGTCTTTTGTTATTATATTTGTGCTAAGTCCTGAATTAGGAGAAGGTAAGCAGAAGGAAATTCCAGAGGAGGCAGTAAAGGAGGGCACTTTTCCAAGAGAGGGACAGAAGGAGGAGGACTCACAGCAGAAACAAGATATGAAATGCGAAGAACAGCAGTTGACCTTGAAGCCTGAGGAAGTCGTGAGGCTCAGAGAAGGGCTGAGCTGTATGAATCAGAGCCTCCTTCGGTCTCAGAGCTCTGGGGATAGCTCAGATGACAGTAGCGTCCAGGTAGGTGTTATATAAACACGTGGTCTGACTGGCTCCATTTCCTCTGATCAGCTGTGGTTAGAGGCTTAATTTTTATATCACTATTAACGTATATTTGTTGAGCAATATCATAACCATGGCCCGAATGTTAATAAAGTAGCAACCAAAATCTCAGCTAAGCCCATCAGTTGATACATTTTATTATAAAGTGTTCTTAGGCTTCTTCTCGGCTCAGCAGGAAGGAATGCTGATTGATTGTCAGTGTCTGCCCTGGGCAGGTGGGACAGAGAATGGCAGGATTTGTGCCACATTTTCTGTTCCTGGTACCTATAGCCTCAATATACAAAATACATCGTTTGCGGGGGAAAAGGCCACAGACTTGGAATTGTTTTCAATATGGCTATTGCTATTTGCTAGAAAGGTGCCTGCAGGAGAAATAAAAGGAGTGACTACACCTCAGTTCTTTTACCTCAATTTTGTTGGTTCCCTCTTGTACAAATTAAGATTTCCCTACACACACTTTTCTAGGAATTACTTTGAGATCCATAGAGGGAGGCTTTGTACTCATATGTAAACCACATTCAGAAGACTGATAATAGACACTTGAGAAGTGATTCAAGTGTACATTTAGAAAACAAGGAAGACTATTAGTAAAAGAAGTCAAAATATATTTGAAAAGAGGTTTGGATAGAGTGAAAACTAGGCAAGTCATAATAAACAAGGAAAATATATACCTGACAGGAGATTCAGATACATTGGAATGAGAAGGAAGTCACTGGATTTGTTCAGAAGACCAAAAGGAAGTATGACATCACATATTCAAAAGGAGGTTGATGTTACATATCCCAGACAATCCCTTTATTGGGCAGTGGGCCAGTGTAGGAGGCTTGGGCAGAGGCTGAACACTGTGGTCACAAAGATGATAAAATCTTTGCTTATGAGCTTCAAATAATCAGTGAACTTTTAGAATAATGAAATTTACAGTATAAGAAGTCACACCCTGGTTAATTTATTAATTTTCTCTAATTTACCCTTTCCCATTATTTGAAGAATCATTTCTCAGTACTTGGGGGGAGGTGAAAAACTATTAAATATATAAAAACTCTCCAGGAAATCTGGGAAAATAGCCATTTTGTGAAAGAATAAATGTATATACCACATAGCCAGTGATTTTTTTCCATAATAATGACTTTGAATTATTGAAAGAAGTATGTTATTCTTATTCATTTATTCAACCAGTATTAATTATTAATTGAGTATCAATTTTTTTTTTTTTTTTTTTTTTTTTTGGCCATGCCACACAGCATGCGAGATCTTAGTTCCCCAACCAGGGATCTTAGTCCCTTGACCAGGGATCGAACCCATGCCCCCTGCAGTGGTAGCATGGAGTCCTAACCACTGGATCGCCAGGGAATTCCCATTAATTGTGTATCTATGATGTGCCAGGCCCTGTGTTAAGGTGCATACAGCAGTAAATGAGGTAGACATGGGCCGCATGGGAAAAAATAACGTATTTGTGTTATTTGGATTCACATTTCCCAAAACACTCACACACACTATTTCATTTACTTGTTTAAGCAAGCAAGGAAGAAAATACATTTTAGACAGATTTTTGTCTGCAGTGTGCTGTGCAGTGATAATTTCAGAACCTCTTTCTGTGTATAGGGTTCTTTGACCTTCTGATAGCTATAGATTGTTCTACTTTTTAGTTCTTGTGTGTGTGTAGTTTTTAGTCTTCACCCCTGTTGTCAGATTATGGTGCTAATACTTTGCTGCTTTCCATGTGTACTGTGTCTTATTAATCTCATAATGTGCAAATTTAGGTAACTATAGGCTGAGCCCAGACACCAAATTTTAAAGAATGCTCATAAATGGCAAATATATAGGGAAAAAACTGTGAGAGCCTCTATTATGAGTAACTATGTGAGCTATATTGTTCATATGTGTTTTGTGACATCATTTGTGGCTGCTGATGGCCTTTGGGGGCTTAATTTCTGCTGTTCAACAGTATTCCTGGTGAGGTTGCAGTAGCTGAGTTCTAGATATTATTTTCCCACTATTCTTGAAACATATTTGAACCACCATTAATTATCTTAACTTTATAGGTTGAAAATGTAGTTTCACATTTTTTTACTATGCTCTAGGCACTATACTTAATACTCTGTGTATATTAAGCAATACAATGAGGCAGAAATATTATTGTTGCCACTTTATAGATGAAGAAACTGAGGCTTTAGAGAGGTTAAATAATTGGCCTAGAATGACACTTTGTGGTGGAACCTGGTCTGTCTCCTTTACAGCCTGACCCTTTAACAGTTTTGTCATCTGCTTCCACTTGCTGAGAAGCTCAAAGAAAGCATATAGTCCTCACGTCAAGCTAATTTTCTAAGGAAGGCTGGCAAGCTGGCTCCCAAAAGCCCTCCCAGGGTGTCTGTGTTAGATTATCTTGGTGAATTTATCTGTGATTTGCCCTTAGGCTTGCAGTCTCCAAAACTTAGATGTAATGGCCCCCCCGCCCAAAATAGATCTGAGTCTTGGGAATACATTTACATTAAACCAAACTTTCAAGACTATTGGGTGAAATCAGAATATGTCAATTAGGTATTCTTCTGTAATAATGAATAAATATCACTTGAACATGTGTAGATGCACCGTGCATTTACCCATAGCGAGCTAACCAGGGATCTTAGATACTTGCAGCTCTTAAGACAAGCAAATTGGATCTAGATTGCCTTTCTGACTAAACCAAGACAGGAACTGAAGGGCTAACAGGACTTGGGGAATTCAGTGTGGCAACTCGGTTATAAGCAAGATAAACTAGAATAATGACATGGGCTTTTCAGAACGTCATGAACAGGAAGCACACTGGACCAGGACTCAGGAAACAGACAGTATCTTATCTGTTGAACTGGAGAAGGTTGAATTCTTTGTCTACTCAGCATGGCTGTGTGTGCCTACCTTTCAGAAAATCTAAATAACTCCTCCTTTGGTCATGGGAGTTTTATTGTGCCAGAGAGACCTGGCAGGAGAGTGTGTTGTTGGGGAGTAACCGAAGGAGAATCATTGGGGAGTGAAAGGAAAGTGATGAGGAAACCTGGTAATTTAGTATCTCTCGCTAAATGTTCTCTTCCCTTTTGCCAACAGACATTATGCGCGCGTGCGCACACGCAACCCACATACACGTTCACACACTGCATCTTAATATGTTGACTCTTTGAACTCCCTATTTAAAGCACGTTTTGCTCTAAAACTACCCACGCTTCTATTCCACTTCATTAATATGAAAAATAAGAAAGTTAATTTTCTATGCTTAATTACTTTTGTTCGCATAACTTCTTCAATATTTTCACTCTAATATAACAGGAGTTAAACTATTTGAACATGTACAACTAGCCATACATGTAAAAGAGTAATTGGCTGTAGTTAAGCTAACTCCAAAAGCATTTACATGTGAATAATCACATTCTGACAGCTGGAACCCATGTTTTACCAACATTCTTTCAAATTATCCATGCTCCCCTTGTAAAACGTTTGCTTTAGTATCCATCATCTGGAGAAAAACGGAAATACCAGCAGCAAGAGGAGCTACAGCAACTTCGCCAGAATTTGCACCGGCTCCAGATTCTATGCAACTCAGCAGAAAAGGAGCTTCGATATGAGCGAGGAAAGAACTTGGACTTAAAGCAGCATAACAGCTTACTTCAGGAAGAAAGCATTAAGGTAACTCCAGTGGGCGTATCCTTCATTTAAGAGTCTCGATTGCTCAATTTACCCTGGGAATAAAGGAATCAGAATTCCTCAACTTGATAATTCACGACAGAGTCCCCAGATGGGTAGACAGTGTGAGCTATCTGGTAACTCCCTCCTTTAACTTCTCCCTACCGAGTAGGTACACAGCTCAATGGTTTCTCTGCTGCTGAAAGGCTGTGTGTGCTGTCAACCTGTAAATATGAAAAGGTTTAAGTTACGCAGTCTTTTGAAATCATCACCTAGACCTTTTAGCACTTAGTAAATTTCGATGACCTGAACTAAATCACTGGTGGTACCGCCCTAGTTCTATCTCTGGATGTATTTGTCTCTAATAGATGCATTATTATTGGTTCAATCAAATATCAACTGCACCAAAGTACAAATCATGAGAGAGCAAAGTTGTTCTTCCTGACATGAGTGCATCAGAAATTTGGGGGAACATCCCCCAAACATGCTTGTTTTAAAATAATCTATATAGAACTGCCATCCACAGATTCATCTAAATTTTATGAAACACAGGGGACTTCCCTGGCGGTCCAGTGGTTAAGACTTCATGCTTCCACTGCAGGGGGCATGGGTTCAATCCCTGGTCGGGGAACTAAGATCCCGCATGCCACACAGTGCAGCCAAAAAAAAGAGTAAGTTTTATGAACCACAAAAATGTTCAAACTGAACCACCATGTAAAATAGAACTTTCTTTTGATTGTGGTTCACTTCTGTAAACATATACTAGGAACCTAATACAAGCCCCTATCTAAGATTCTGGAATTCAACATTCAACAAATATTTATTGAGCATCAGTCCTACACAAGGCAGGCCATCTTGTCAATACTGAGGGTTTAATGATATGCAAAACAGACACAGTTCTTATCCCCTATTGCAGGGGTCAGCAAACTTTGACCTATGGGTCAAATCCTGCCTGCCTTCCATTTTTGTAAATAAAGTTTTATTGGCACACAGCCATACCTGTTTGTTGACGTATTATTGACGGCTGCTTTTGCACTACCAAAGTAAATATGAGTAGTTCTGACAGAGACCATATGGCCCACAAAGGCTAAAATATTTACTCTCTCGCCCTTTATACGAAAGGTTTGCCACCCCTAGAGTAGCAGGATCAATGACCTTATTCAAAAAGCGACATAAAAATGGATTAAGAAAGGTCCCTACTTTTAAGGAGCTCACAGTCTAGTAGGGGAGATATGGAGGAAAACAAATAGTCATTTATTTCAAACTTCAAAGGAAGCCCTTTTGGGAGTTCTAGGATTATTTGGATAAACTTCTTCCCTATCCTCACCCTTCATGGTTTCTCGAATTTGATCGTATTCCCTCAAGCCTTTGTAATTTTTTAAATAAATTTATTTATTTTATTTATTTTTATTTTTGGCTGTGTTGGGTCTTCGTTGCTGTGCGCAGGCTTTCTCTAATTGCAGTGAGTGGGGGCTACTCTTCATTGCGGTGCGCAGGCTTCTCATTGCGGTGGCTTCTCTTGTTGCAGAACACGGGCTCTAGGCGTGCGGGCTTCCATAGTTGTGGCTCACAGTCTCAGTAGTTGTGGCTCGCGGGCTCTAGAGCACAGGCTCAGTACTTGTGGCGCACGGGCTTAGTTGCTCCGCAGCATGTGGGATCTTCCCAGACTCGAACCCGTGTCCCCTGCATTAGCAGGTGGATTCTTAACTACTGCGCCACTAGGGAAGCCCCAAGCCTTTGAAGTTTTAAATTAAATTCCAAATCTTTCTCACATTTCAAGACAACCTTTTACCTTTCCCTTCAAACACCTTTCTTAGACTATTTTAACTGTCCACTGTGAGCGTACTCAAGCAATACTACGTCTCTGTCAAGGCACAATGACAATAACAACAGATCGTGACATCTTATATATGGTTGGCACCCTATAAATATTTGTTGGTTAATGAACGAGTCCTTCAGGGATGGGTAAATGAGAGCTTGATAAAAAAGAGAAGATATTTTCTGTTTTAAATCTCCTTCATGGTGGGGTAAATTATTTGCCATTTCAGTAATGAGACATCATTCTTTTGGTTGGTCCCTTGGGCCAGGCATTTACGCAGAGTCATATGCAATAGCCAACTACCTTGTAGTGACAGTTTGTCCACTTTATCTCTTAGAAACCTCCCAACCCTGAAAGGTAAACATTTTATAGATGAGAAAACTGTTCAGGGGACTTCCCTGGTGGTTCTAGTGGTAAAGAATCTGCCTTCCAATGCAGGGGACACGGGTTTGATCCCAGATCGGGGAACTAAGATCCCACACGCCGCAGGACAACTAAAGCCCGCACACCACAACTGCTGAGCTCGCGCACCTCAACAAGAGAACCCGTGTGTGCCGCAAATTACAGAGCCCACGCACTCCGGTGCCTGTGCACCACAGCTAGGGAGAGAAAACCCGCACGCCACTACTACAGAGAAGCCCATGCGCCGCAATGAAAGATCCCGCGTACCTCAACAAAGATCCTGCATGCTGCAACTAAGACCCGACACAGCCAAAAAAATAAAGAAAATAAATAAATATATATACATATATAAAAAACTGTTCAAGTGGCAAAGCTAACAAATTGTGGAGTCAGAATTTAAACCCAGGTCTGTTTTTGTCTTTCCTGTGTAGAGTTATCTTTCCGTATTATCCCTTTCCTCAATTTGGGGTCATTTTCGAACCTCAGCTTTGCCAATTTAGAGATTACTTTTTAAAATCCACTCAGAGATAATCGAACTCTGGGTCTCTGGCTAATGTTAGGCGTACTTGTAAGACTGATTAAGAAACCAGAATACTTATTTGTTGCTTTTAAACCTTTTTATTGTGAAATATAGCACTCAGGAAGTACACAAAACATATACATAGAGTTTAATGAATTGTTTCAAAGTGACTACCCATGTAACCACCACCCGGGACAAGAAATAGCAAATTGCCTGCATACCAGCAGCCCCTGCATACCTCTTTCCCACCATAATCCCATTTCCTTCCATCTTAGCAGGAACCACTAATTTAAGTAATTACTCTCTTGCTTTACTTTATAGTTTTACCATCTGTGTATGAATTCCACACAGCATGGTTCAGTTTTGCCTGCTTTTGAATATTTTATAAATATAATCAATCAGTATACACACCTTGTATCTGTCTTCTGATGATCTACTTTGTTTGGAAGATTCATCCATGTTGTGGTGTATAGCCATTGTTCATTCATTTTCTTTGCAGTGGAGTATTCCACTGTAAGGAAATGCCATAATTTATTTATTATTTCTGTGATTTATGGCCATATTGCCTGTTTCCACGTTGGGTATATCAAGAAGAATGCTGTAGGCTTGCAGAGCTTCAGGCTGAGAGCGGTTCTGCCACCACCAATACTGAGACACTGTACTGAATCCTCTTCCTGGTGCTTAAATGTCCCAATCTGAAGCTTAAGAAGCCACCCTAGATGCACATGTCGTTGGCCAGAACAGTGTTTGCTCCAGTGTTGTCATCTTATTTCATCATTACCAGCGTTACCAAAATGCTGAGCATTGTCTCTAAGACCAATGATCGTAGATCTCAGAGGCCTTTAGCTTTCTTGGCCTATGGAGTAGGTGGATAATATATTATGAAACCTATATGCCCTTTCTATTTATAATAAGTTTAAGTTTCATAATCCTGAACCAGTCCAATGCACCAAATATTCCAACACTCAGTTTCTTCTTTTCTTTAATTTCTTTGTTTCTTCTTCTATTCATTATAAAATCCAAATAGAAACCAGTGGGACAGGAGATCAGTGGTAGAAGGGGGATTAACGGGATGATTTTAATCAGGCAAAGGCCACATCATTCAAGGCCAGGCAAGCTGGTGGGATATGTTCTCAGAGTGTTGCGGAAGCCACTGAAAAATTTAAGCAGGAACGGGGGTCAAGTAGTTCAATTTATGTTTTTAAAAGAACACTTGGGCTGCAGTGTGGAGAACAGATTAGAAGGGAGTAAAAATGGAAGTAGCATGACCAGTGCTACTGCTATGGCCCAGGATAGAGATGATGATGACCTAGCAAGGGTGGTGAGAGAAATGATGAAAATGGATTGATGCAAGATGTGTTGTAGAGGTAGAGTGACAGCATGTGCTGAATAGGCTCACTATTGGCAAAGGAAGGCTCAAGGATGGCTCTCAGGTCACTGGCCTGAACAAAAGGTTGGATGTTGGCCTCCTTTACTGAAATCAGAAAGACTGAGAGAAGAACACTTTTGGAGATAGAAGCAGAATCAAGGAGTTCCATTTTGGCATGTATTGGCATAAAAGTGGTATTTTTAAATCATGAGAATGAACCTAGAGAGAGAATGATTCACTCTCTAGGAAGGCCTAGAATAGTCCAAAAATGTTTAGAAGTTGAGTGCACTAGAATAGTCTACAAAATAAACCAAGAAGCAACAGCAGAGGTAAGTGAAAACTAGGAGAGGTGGGTATCACAGACTCCAAGAGAGGAGAACTTTCTGAGATGGACGGAGTAACTGCTACTAACAGGTCAGTTGTCCACTGGACTTAAATTCTGGCCAGGGAAGGTCAGTAGTGCTCTTGGCACTACTGAAGTAGTGGGAATGAAAGCTGGCTTGGAGTAGACTGGAAAAAAAAAAATGATGGAAACTCTTTAGACCATGCATGTGTAGAAACCCTTAAGTAAATTCCTTTGTCCAGCTGCCGTCTGGCTGGATAGACTTTGGCAAACCCTTCTAACACAGAGCAGCTCCAGAGAGGTAATCAGCCACATGACATTGGTATTTGTCAGCTCTTGGGGGACTACACTTTCTTGAAAGCTGCTTATTCTAGCTCACATTCACATTCATTCCATGCTTATTTTTGTCACTTTTATTTATTCCCCACCTCTAGATCAAAATTGAACTCAAGCAGGCCCAGCAGAAGTTATTAGACAGCGCAAAGATGTGCTCTTCACTCACGGCTGAGTGGAAGCACTGTCAGCAGAAAATCAAGGAACTGGAGCTGGAAGTACTTAAACAGGCTCAGAGCATTAAATCACAGAACAACCTACAGGAAAAGCTGGCTCAGGAGAAATCTAGAGTTGCTGATGCAGAGAAAAAGGTAATTATCCTCACACTTAATAAATAACATGCACTGGATACTACTACTGAAATCCTGTTTCCCTAAGGATTTTAAAAAATAGATACAGTGCAAACCTGATAGAATTCTAGGGGTTTTTTCACTCTCCCCCGCTTTCCTCTTTTGACGTCACCTGCTCCTATGGTTCCAGTAAATCTTGTGTTTTTGAAGACTACATGAACTCAAAAAGGTAAATTTCATTAAAGCTATAACATGAACTTAAGCAATTGAGACCAAAGGACTTGATATTATTTATAAAGTATATTATTTATACTTTATATTATTAAGTCAAATTTTAAAGGACTTATTCTCCTCTCATTTGGATTGCCCATTTATTTGATTTTTATTTTGTAACTTTTGGAGGGATGAGTGTTGTGAAATGAACCATTTTGAAATATCGCCCCTGCATTTTAGACTGCCTGACACCAGGTGGCAGTAGTATGTCACACTTGCACGTTTTGATCTGTGGGTTTGAGAGTCAAATCTTACATAAAAAATATTTCATCAAACCACATAAATATAAAACAAACATCAAAATTAGATGATAGCAATATGGCTTAAACTCAAAAACCCAATGTTGAGCTAAAGAAGCCAGCACAAAAGAGTTCATACTATGTAATTTTCCTTATATGAGGTTCAAGAATAGACAAAACTAAGCCGTGGTGATAGAATGTCTTATAATGTCTTTATAAGGGGTATGGAAGGGGACATGAGGGAATCTTCTGTGGTGCTGGAAGTATTCTTTATCTTGGTCTGGAAGAGGTGGTTATATAAGCAAAACTTCACTGAGTATGTAAGATACGTGTACTTTATCATATGTATGTTATTACTTTAAAAAAAAGTAATTGGTAAAATTGATAAAGATTAGTAAAATTTTTAAATTTAGACATACTAAATATTGTTACTGGATTTTATGCAACAGGAATGCATATTCTGACTGCAGCTGGAAGAGTAAACTAGTATAAACACTTCAGAAATCAATTTGGCATTAGATCTAGTTAAGTTAAAGATGTATATACCGCACAACCCAACACTTCTACTAGGCATAAAAACTAGGGAAACTACTCTACTGAGCGTATATATCAGTATACGGGAATACAGTCATTTTCATAGTAACTGTTCCAAATGTTCACTGACTTGAGATGGAAGAGGTAAACTGCATATTTACACAGTAGCATAAAACAGTGAAAACGAATGAACTATAGGTACTTGCTGTAGTTAATACAATATTGAATAAATACCAAATCACCAAAAACACAGTATGATGCCATTAATATGATGGTCAAAATAGTACAAAATAACAACTGAGTCATACAGAAATACATATTATTAAAAGAAAAAGCAAGAAAATGATTAACACAAAATTCAAGATATTGGTTTTCTCAGGTGAGGAGGGAAGGGGAGTGATCAAAGAGGGTCACAGAGTAGACTTCAAACATACTGGAAATGTTCTGTTTCTTAAATTGGGTGGTGGGTTCAAAAGTTTGTCATTTGCCCTTGACAGAGAAGCCAATGGAATTAAGATTGGCTGTCTTTAAGGAAGCATTTGCCCTAGGCAGAAATAAATGGGGCAGCTCAGAGGAACTTGAGCTGGCCTCAGCTAACTGGCTGCCCACTGCCATTGCCTGTGAATCATTCTACATCTTCAACTCTCCTATGGTGAGTGGGCTCTGCAGAGACCTAGGGCTAATGCAGAAAGCCCTTCTCTTAGAAGAGGACTGCCATTCACCGGCATCCACTGAACGTCTGTGGGGAACATGGTGCCAGACCATTGTAAAGGATTTGTTGTTGCATCAGGAATACAATAGAGGGAGAACAGCAATTCCACTGAGAACTATACAACTGCCAAATATTTACTAAGCACCTACTACATAGTAGTCACAATTTTAGGTGACATAAGGGTTTATAAAAAATATGTAAACAAATTAAAAGGAGATCTAATAAGAAAATTTTAATGACACTTTTAGTCTAACATGTAAATTCTAAAATAAAATCATATATCTCTCAAATTCATAAATCTTATTTTTAGTTCTACCAGAGCATTAAAGAATGCACTACTGGAACTTCCCTGGTAGTCCAGTGTTAAAGAATCCGCCTTCCAATGCAGGGGATGCAGGTTCAACCCCTGGTCAGGGAACTAAGATCTCACATGCCATGAGGCAGCTAAGCCCACATGCCACAACTACTGAGCTCACACGCCTCAACTAGAGAGCCTGCATGGCACAAACTACAGAGCCCACATGCCACAAGTAGAGAAAACTCACACACCACAACTAGAGAGAAGCCCGAGAGCCACAACAAAATGTCCTGCATGCCTCAACCAAGATCCCGAGTGCTGCCAACTAAGACCCGACGCAGCCAAATAAATAAATATTTTTTAAAAAGTAAAAAGAATGCACTACTGGTGCTAGGCAGTATGCCAATAGGTACTTGGTTTGTAAGAGACTTCTATTTTGTTCTGAGATACTTATTCGTGAATTTAGCCACACTATGGAGAAACTAGACACTCTCACATGTTGCTGTTAGAGGTGTAAATTGGTCTAAAACCTATGGAGACAGTTTGGCATTATCTGTTAAACAAACAAACAAATAATAATAACCTTTGCCCTAGCAAAATACACATCTCATAAGTTATTCTAAAAACATTGTTTGTAATAGTAAAAGATTGGAATCAACCTAAATGTCCATCAGTAGGGGGCTAGTTAAATATATTATGGTATATCCTGACAGTGGAATGATATGCAGCTGTAAAAGAGAAGACAATTCTCTATATTATATATAATATGGAAAAATCACCAAGTGTACTGCTATAAAAAAAGCAAGGTGCATAAGTACATGTAATATACCATCATGTGTGTAAAAAATGTTTGTATGGGGCTTCCCTGGTGGCGCAGTGGTTGAGAGTCCGCCTGCTGATGCAGGGGACACGGGTTCGTGCCCCGGTCCGGGAAGATCCCACATGCCGCAGAGCGGCTGGGCCCGTGAGCCATGGCCACTGAGCCTGCACGTCCGGAGCTTGTGCTCTGCAGCGGGAGAGGCCACAACAGTGAGAGGCCCGCGTACCACAAAAAAAAAAAAATTTTTTTGTATGAGGGAGAATAGTATTTATTTAAATATGCATAAATAAATCTCTGGAAGAGTACATAAGAAATTAATACCAGTGATAACCTATTTGGTGGAGGAAAACTGGAAGGAAGACAGGATAAGGATGGGAAAGGGACTTGTCACTCTAGCTTAGTTTACCCACGTACACTAAATTATATGAATATATTACATATTGCAAAATTAAGTAATTTAATTCTAAAATTAAAATAAATCTAGTCACACTCTTTAGCTGAGATTTTTATGTTAGCACTACTGCTTATGATTTATATGGTATTTCCCTAATTGGAAAATAGGTCACACTCAAAGTTTTATGTGTAAACTCTTTTCATTTCAGATATTGGATCTGCAGCAGAAATTAGAACATGCTCACAAAGTCTGTCTCACAGACACTTGTATTTTGGGGAGGAAGCAACTAGAGGAAAGGATAAAAGAAGCAATAGAAAATGAAGCTAAAATAAAGCAACAATATCAGGAAGAACAACAGAAGAGGTAAGAGGAGCAAAGACGTCATTTTTCCATGGGCTGAGTTTATGAGCAGCATCAGTTTACCACTGCGTTTCCTCTTTGTCCCCACTGAAGTAAACTCAGTCATAAAACTTCATATATTGATATATACATAGCACACTGCATTCTAACTGTTTATTTTCTTGCTTGTCTTTCATACTAGAGTGTGGAATTCTCAAGGTCAGGGATTATTTCTTGTTCTGGAACACACTTGGTGTACCAGTAAATCTTCTTGAATGAATGGATTGCCTATGAAATATGATACCCTGGGATTTGCTTTTCTAACTCTAACATGATTGGCACAAAATGCACACTAGAATGTGGTTGATGTTTTGTATTTATCAGCTGATTTTCTTCAAAGAAGATCCAAGTACTTTACAGGCATCTTAATCATTAGTAAGCTGCTACTGGGTAGGAGCTGTCATGTTTTTTCTAAAAGTATTTTGATTATTATTAGGATTCTTACTTAAATGATCTTCTTGTATATCCTAAACTTCAGTAACTGATGCTTCTTACTTCTATGGCACTAAGAATGATTCACGTATGTCTTAAGAAAAATATGGTTCTAACTACTGAAAAGATATATAGATATTCACATAAACTGTTAAGCTCAGAAACTTACTTTCAGCTCTAGTTGAAAGCTCTAGCATAGAGCCTGGCACTCAGTAGGTGCTCAGCAAATATGTTGTGAATAAATGAATGTTTGAATGAATAATGAATTCACTCAGTTAGGTATGATAGAAAAATACTTGTCTCACTGCCACTTCTACCAGGATGACACCCTCCTCCTGTTTTAATACAACTAGATCCTGAATAAACTACAATAAGTATACCTTTTAAACCACTGCTCACAAAGCAAGAGAAAGCTCTAGGGCAAGCATACAATGAGACAAAACAAAAATAATGAATGGTAAACAACCTTAGAGTCAAGGGGCAGATAACACTATCAGCCCCAGGTTCAAGAGAAGCTGAGGTAGTTTGCCACAAGGTAGGACAGCTGAACTAGAGACTCAAGTATGAGCTGGGCATCTTGAAGTAGCTAAGGTGTTCCTCAATAGGCAGCTTCCTTACTTCCTAAGAAAATCCAAATTACCTCTGAGGGAAAGCAACCTCAATTTAGATATTAAAGGACTCCCATGTATTCAGTTTACTCAAATATGAGCTTACAAAAAAAATCACCAAATAACACAAGGAAACTGGTTACCATGAATGAAAGTCAGCAGAAACAAGAAACATCAGATTTATAACCCCCAAGAAGTTCACCAATTGGAATTAGGAAGACTAGATTGTAAAACAATTGTGTTAAGTTTATGAAGAAACAAAAGATGCAATCAAAGAATTGAACAGGAAAAAGGCTATTTAACTTTCCTGAAACCTGGTTTCTAATGTTTGAAGTAGGAATAATGATACCAGTTCTACACATCTTTTGTGAATATTGGCTGAAAAGAAATACATAGAAGAGACCAGAGGACAGACAGCAGAAGCAAGAAGAACTACGGTCCTGCAGCCTGTGGAACAAAAAACACATTCACAGAAAGATAGACAAGATGAAAAGGCAGAAGGCTATGTACCAGATGAAGGAACAAGATGAAACCCCAGAAAAACGACTAAATGAAGTGGAGAAAGGCAACCTTCCAGAAAAAGAATTCAGAATAATGATAGTGAAGATGATCCAGGACCTCGGAAAAAGAATGGAGGCAAAGATCAAGAAGACGCAAGAAATGTGTAACAGAGACCTAGAAGAATTAAAGAACAAACACCTAGAAGAATTAAAAAACAAACAAACAGAGATGAACAATACAATAACTGAAATGAAAAATACACTAGAAGGAATCAATAGCAGAATAACTGAGGCAGAAGAATGGATAAGTGACCTGGAAGACAGAATGGTGGAATTCACTGCTGCAGAACAGAATAAAGAAAAAAGAATGCAAAGAAATGAAGACAGCCTAAGAGACCTCTGGGACAACATTAAACACAACAACATTCACAGTGTAAGGGTTCCAGAAGGAGAAGAGAGAGAGAAAGGACCCGAGAAAATATTTGAAGAGATTATAGTCGAAAAGTTTCCTAACATGGGAAAAGAAATAGCCACCCAAGTCCAGGAAGTGCAGGGAGTCCCAGTCAGGATAAACCCAAGGAGAAACATGACAAGACACATAGTAATCAAATTGACAAAAATTAAAGACAAAGTTGAGTCTCTGAACTAGAGACTCAAGTATGAGCTGGGCATCTTGAAGTAGCTAAGGTGTTCCTCAATAGGCAGCTCCCTTGCTTCCTAAGAAAATCCAAATTACCTCTGAGGGAAAGCAACCTCAATTTAGATATTAAAGGACTCCCATGTATTCAGTTTACTCAAATATGAGCTTACAAACAAAAATCACCAAATAACACAAGGAAACTGGTTACCATGCAAACTGGTTCCATCTGAGATGGAACCAGGCAGAAACAGAATATAAACAAAATATAGCAGAGGGAGGAACACTCCCAAACTCATTCTATGAGGCCACCATCACCCGGATAACTAAACCAGACAAAGATGTCACAAAGAAAGAAAACTACAGGCCAATATCACTGGTGAACATACATGCAAAAATCCTCAACAAAATCCTAGCAAAGAGAATCCAACAACACATTAAAAATATCGTACACCATGATCAAGTGAGGTTTATCTCAGGAATGCAAGGATTCTTCAATATACGCAAATCAATGAATGTGATAAACCATATTAACAAACTGAAGGAGAAAAACCATATGATCATCTCAATAGATGCAGAAAAAGCTTTCGACAAAATTCAACACCGATTTATGATAAAAACCCTCCAGAAAGTAGGCATAAAGGGAACTTACCTCAACATAATAAAGGCCATATATGACAAACCCACAGCCAACATCGTTCTCAATGGTGAAAAACTAAAACCATTTCCACTAAGATCAGGAAGAAGACAAGGTTGCCCACTCTCACCTCTGTTATTCAACATAGTTTTGGAAATTTTAGCCATAGCAATCAGAGAAGAACAAGAAATAAAAGGAATCCAAATCGGAAAAGAAGTAAAGCTGTCACTGTTTGCAGATGAGATGATACTATACATAGAGAATCCTAAAGACACTACTAAAATTGACTAGAGCTAATCAATGAATTTGGTAAAGTAGCAGTATACAAAATTAATGCATAGAAATCTGTTGCATTCCTATACACTAACGATGAAAAAATCTGAAAGAGAAATTAAGGAAACAATCCCATTTATCATTTCAACAAAAAGAATAAAATACCTAGGAATAAACCTACCTAAGGAGACAAAAGACCTGTATGCAGAAAACTATAAGACACTGATGAAAGAAATTAAAGATGATACAGGGCTTCCCTGGTGGTGCAGTGGTTGAGAGTCCGCCTGCCGATGCAGGGGATGCGGGTTTGTGCCACGGTCCGGGAAGATCCCACATGCTGTGGAGCGGCTGGGCCTGTGAGCCATGGCCGCTGAGCCTGCGTGTCCGGAGCCTGTGCTCTGCAACAGGAGAGGCCACAACAGTGAGAGGCCCGTGTGCTGCAAAAAAACAAAACAAAACAAAAAAGATGATACAAACAGATGGAGAGTTATACCATGTTCTTGGATTAGAAGAATCAACATTGTGAAAATGACTATACTACCCAAAGCAATCTACAGATTCAATGCAATCCCTATCAAACTATCAATGGCATTTATCCCAGAACTAGAACAGAAAATTTCACAATTTGTATGGAAACACAAAAGACCCCGAATAGCCAAAGCAATCTTAAGAAAGAAAAACAGAGCTGGAGGAAGCAGGCTCCCTGACTTCAGACTATACTGTAAAGCTACAGTAATCAACACAGTATGGTACTGGCACAAAAAGAGAAATATAGATCAGTGGAACAGGATAGATATCCCAGAGAAAAACCCACACACCTATCATCAAGTAACCTATGACAAAGGAGGCAAGGATATACAATGGAGGAAAGACAGTCTCTTCAATAAGTGATGCTGGGAAAACTGGACAGCTACCTGTAAAAGAAGGAAATTAGAACACTCCCTAACACGATACACAGAAATAAACTCAAAATGGATTGGAGACTTAAATGTAAGACCAGACACTATAAAACTCTTAGAGGAAAACATAGGAAGAACAGTCTTTGACATAAATCACAGCAAGATCTGTTTTGATCTACCTCCTAAAGAAAGGGAAATAAAAACAAAAATAAACAAATGGGACCTAATGAAGCTTTAAAGCTTTTGCAAAGCAAAAGAAACTACAAACAAGATGAAAAGACAACCCTCAGAATGGGAGAAAATATTTGCAAACTAATCAACGGAGAAAGGATTAATCTCCAAAATATATAAACAGCTCATGCAGCTCAATATTAAAAAAACAAACACTATGTATAACTGATTTACTTTGTTATAAAGCAGAAACTAACACACCATTGTAAAGCAATTGTACCCCAATAAAGATGTTAAAAACAAACAAACAAACAACCCAATCAAAAAAGGTCAGAAGACCTAAATAGACATTTCTCCAAAAAAGACATACAGATGACCAAGAAGCACATGAAAAGCTGCTCAACATCACTAATTATTAGAGAAATGCAAATCAAAACTACAGTGAGGTATCACCTCACACCAGTTAGAATGGGCATCATCAGAAAATCTACAGACAACAGATGCTGGAGCGGGTGCAGAGAAAAGAGAACCCTCTTGCACGGTTGGTGGGATTGTAAATTGATACAGCCACTATGGAGAACAGTGTGGTGGTTCCTTAAGAAACTAAAAATAGAATTACCATATGACCCAGCAATCCCACTACTGGGCATATACCCAGAGAAAAACATAATTCAAAAAGACACATTCACCCCAGTGTTCATTGCAGCACTATTTACAATAGCCAGGTCAGGGATGCACCCTAAATACCCATCGACAGACGAATGGATAAAGATGTGGTACATATATACAATGCAATATTACTCAGCCATAAGAAGGAACGAAATTGGGTCATTTGTAGAGACGTGTTTGGAACTAGAGACTGTCATACAGAATGAAGTAAGTCAGAAAGAGAAAAACAAATACCATATATTAATACATATATGTGGAACCTAGAAAAATGGTACAGATGGACTGGTTTGCAGGGCAGAAATAGAGAAACAGATGTAGAGAACAAACATATGGAGATCACAGGGGGAAAGTGGTGGGAAGTGGTGGTGTGATGAATTGGGAGATTGGGATTGACATATATACACTAATATGTATAAAATGGATAACTAATAAGAAAAGAAAAAGAAATATGTAGAAGAAATATATGAACTAAGTATAGGAAAATGAAATATGGAGGGAAGTTATTTTCCACAACAAAGGAGACTATCTAGTACACATTATTTTGTAACCTGAAGAAAGCAACCCCAATTTAGATATTTATGTTGTAACCTACTTTTTTCACTTAAAATAGTATAATCTGTTTACCTGCCATTAAATCTTCTTCTAGCACATTATTTTAATAACATGCCATAATTTATTTACTCAGTCCTTTATTGTTGGACATCTACGTTTTTCCCAGTTTCTCGCTATAGGAAAGAATAACATAATATATACCTCCTAGACAAATTTTTATGCATATCCTTTATTTCCTTGGGATAAATTCCAGCAAGTATAATTATAATATAACTGCCTATCATAAAATTTCAAATATTGAAGAGCTATATAAAATAAAAAGCATACGTTCTTCAGAATTTTACCCTTCAGCAATAACCACTTTAAGTGGTTGCTATGTATTTCTCATATGTTTTTCTATGTTTATGCATATATTTTTTATTCTAGTTTTATTTTCTTTTAAGTTGAATCATTTTACTCTATTGCTATGGAATTTGCATTTTTAACCTAACAATATAACATGGACATCTTATTAGCCACTTAGTAGCTGCATCACCTTGGGCAAGTTTCTTATCCTCTGTGCCTGTCTAGGCCTACCTCATAGAACCAGTGTGTGGATTGGATGAGTTATAGCAGTTGGCTTGTATCAGTGTCTGGCACATACTAAGCACTTGTATCAGTCAGGGTTCAAAGAAAGAAGTAAAACCAATAGGAGTCATATATATTTATCAATAATAAGAGATTTGTTACAGAGAGCTGGTCTTATACAGTTGTGGGAACAGGTTACACAGTCTGTAGGCCTGTCATCTTTGTTTCTTATGCTGGAACTCAAAGTCCGCAGGGCAACCAGTCAGGAAGTGAAAATGGATATAAAGTGAGGGAGAGCTGGAACCCATGAGCACAAGCTGAACCGCAGAGGCTGGCCTGGAACCCAGGTCAGTTTCACTACCTCCAACCTTGATAAAGTAAGGAGAAGCTGGTCCCCCTCATCAAGGAGCTGCAAAGACCTGGCCCAGGAGATCGAGAAGATGAAAGAGGATGAGAGGGAAGGTGGAGCAGTTGCAGACCCAGCTGTCACCTCACGCCACGGTGAGCAGCAGATAAGCATCAACAGTATGAGCTGCAGAAGCACCTGCTCTGACTTTCCAAGTGTAAAACTGCTTCACTTCCACCCTCCAAATCTTGAGCAAATAGATCTCTTGTAGCCCACTCTAACCAGAAACATACATGGAAGGAATTCCTACCCAAGTTGACACATTTTACAAAGCCGCTACTACCGAGGTGTTATTATTGTTGTTATTTCTATATTCGATGTTACTGTTGTCAAAATCATAATCTTCTTCTCTTCAGCGAAGTGGAATATTCATTTTGGCTAGAAAAAAAATGTTTGGGGATAAGGGAAGTGGCAAAAAAAAAAAAAAGAGGCTAGAAAGGTAAGGTAGGCTTGGTCATGCTGAGCCTAACTAGCCACCTTATGGAGTTTGGACTTGTTTATGGGTGAGATTGGTCTATAGTTTTCCTTTCTTGTGTCTTTATCTGGTTTTGCTCTTAGGGTATGCCGGCCTCATAGAATTAGTTAGGAAGTGTCCCCTCTTCTTCAATTTTTCTGGAAGAGATTGTAGAGAATTGGTATCATTTCTTCCTTAAATATTTGGTAGAATCTGGGCCTAGTGCTTTATTTTTTGGAAGGCTATTAACTATTGATTCAATTTCTGTAATAGATATTAGCCAGTTCAGATTATCTATTTCTCCTTGTGTAAATTTTAGTAGATTGCATCTTTCAAGGAATTGGTCCATTTTATCTGTTATCCGATTTGTGGGCAGAGTTGTTCATACTATCCCTCTATTGTCCTTTTAATGTCCATAGGATCAGTAGTGATGATGATGATCCTGCTTTCATTTCTGATATTAGTGATTTGTGTCTTCTCTAGCCTGGCTAGAGGTTTATCAATTTTATTGAGTTTTTCAAAGAACCAGCTTTGGTTTTCTGGTTTTTCTCTACTGTTTTCCTGCTTTCAGTTTTATTGATTTCTCCTCTAATCTTTATTATTTCTTTTCTTCTGCTTTATTTAGGCTTATATTAGTCTTCTTTCTCTAGTTTCCTAAAGTAGAAGCTTAGATTATTGATTTTCAATCTTTCTTCTTTTATAATATTTGCATTTAATGCTATAAGTTTCTCTCCAAGCACTGCTTTTGCCACATCCCACAAATTTTGTAAGTTGCGTTTTCATTTTCATGTAAACTACACGTACTTTAAAATAATTTTAAGATTTGTCTTTAACACACGTATTGTTTGTTTAATCTCCAAATATTTTGTGATTTTCCACCTTTCTGTTATGGATTTATAGTTTCATAATATTTTAAGCAGTTGTATAGCATTTTGTTACATAGATATATCACAATTTATATAAAATGTTTTTTAGACTTTTTGCTGTTATAAAATAATTTTTTTTAATATTTTATTTATTTATTTGGTTGCACTGGGTCTTGGTTGCAGCAGGCGGGCTCCTTAGTTGCAGCTTGCCGGCTTCTTAGTTGTGGCATGCAAACTCTTAGTTGCAGCATGCATGTGGGATGTAGTTCCATGACCAGGGATCAAACCCGGACCCCCTGCATTGGGAGCATGGAGACTTTAACCACTGTGCCACCAGGGAAGTCCCTAAAATAATTTTATAATTAATATCCTGACACATAAGACTTTGTAACTATAATGAAGTATGAGAAGTGTTATACTAAGGGAGGTTTAGGATGCTCAGATAACACATAGCAGGGAGACCTAATTTGGTCTAGGAAGCTCGAGAAAGCCTTCCTCAAAGAAAGCTATTTAAGCTGAGAGTCAAGTAGTTGTTATGGTAAAACTAAGTGGAAAATATCAGGCAAAGGAAGGCCTGGAAGAGGAGGATAGGGAAAAGGTTGGAGTTGCAGGGGAGGAATAAGTGTGGAGAATGACTTGTTTCAGGAAGTGAAAAAGTGCATTTTGCCTGGAACAAAATGTTTGAGGGTAGAGGAAGTGGCAAGAAAATGAGGCTAGAAAGGTAAGCTAGCTAACAAACCATATTAAAGGAATTCCCCCACTGCTGAGAGCCCGGCCGGATTCAGTCCTTGGTCGGGGAAATAAGATCCCAAAGTCCAAAAAAAGAATTTTTACTTTATCTTAAGAGTAAAGGAGAATGCTACAGCAGTGTTAACACGTGTGCATTAGTATCAATAGTGTTTGTAACTAACAACCCTATATTAAAGCAAGAAAATGATGGGATTCAACTCATAAAGCACTCAGAACAAGTACAAAGAATATAGAATCCCCGCGACTTCCCCGAGGGTCCAGTGGCTAAGACTCCTCGCTTCCACTGCAGGGGACATGGGTTTGAGCCCTGGGCGCGGCCAGAAAAAAAAAAAGAAAAGAAAGAATAAAGAATTTGGAATTAGAGCCCTACCTCCAACTTTTCCTAGCCATGTGACCTGGAGCAAGTTAATTAAACCTCTCTGTGCCACAGCTTCCTCTGGTAAATAAGGAAAATTATTTATTCTTCATAGGGTGGTTTTCAGGAGTGAGAGAGAAAACTAAGAAAAGCTTCTGTCACAAAGGAGTTTCCTTTGATGTTGGTCCCTTTATCTTACGGACACCTACCTTACCTCAGTGAACCAAAAAAAATCCCCTGTGCCCAGTATAACAAATTTAGGTCGAAGAGTTTCTTTTGCAGAGCTTTGCAATTCACAATGTGGTTTAATGTACATTAATTGCCCTCAGGAAACTCCTAGATCAGAATATGAATGAGCTACAAGAGCAAGTGAAAATCTTAAAGGATAAAGAGAATCAACTGGAAATGACCAGTTCTCAGCAACAATCCAGAATTCAGCAACAAGAAACCCAACTTAAACAACTGGAAAATGAAAAAAGAAAATCTGATGAGGTAAGAAAGCAAATAGGTATGCTTCTCAGTTTCCCTATTCCCTTAGACCTAATTGATAGCTAATAACAGCTAATAATTATTGAATGCCTAGCACTTTACCCATTAAGTTTAGTCAGGATTCATTCAGGAAAGCAGAATCTACTCTAGGTATTGCAAGCAAGAAGGAATTTAACACGGGGAAGAACATGCTTACAGAACTGTTGGAAGGGAGAGGTAGGGGTGAGTAGAAGGTTGCCAGCTTTCAATAAATCCAGAAGTTCAGAAATCACAGGGAAACCAACTCCTGCAGCACCGAAGTGGGAGATTTACAGGAACTCTCCCTGAAGCCCTTACAGAAGTCTCATCTGCTATCTTCCCTTTCATCTACCTGGTAGTGTTACCCAGATACTGGATTTGCCTCGTGGTAGGTGTTGAGCCAAAAGATACAGCCAAGCCAAAGAACAGGAGAAGGAAGGATTTGTTACTTGCAGCAAGTAAGAACACCAGGGCTCTCTCCCAAAGCAGTGTCTCCTTGAACAGCAAAATTGGGGAAGTTTTAAGCTAAGGGTACGTGCATATTCATGAAGGAGCTTGAGCAGAGGAGAATTCAGCATAGAATTGGGGCAAAGGTCCATAGAGTCCAAGCTTTAGTTGATTGAAGTCATGAGGGTCAACATCATCATGCTGTCCTCCACCTAGGTGGGGGTCTTACTTCCTGTAGAACTCAAAGACGTGTATCAGATTGTTATGTATATCCCTTGAGGAGGAACTAGGACTAGATTTATCACTGAACTATTGTTTCTTGACTGCTTTTCCTTTGTTCTTACATTCCCTCACTTCCATTTAGATCATTAATTACTGAGACCTGTTCAAGGGCAAGCATCGTGGCCAGGCTTAGATCACAAAATGGATTAGGCCAAAAATGGCTTCTGTCAAGAAAGCCATGCCTGGTTCTTTCTCCAGGGACCCCCTACCATATCTGCTTCGAGTAGTGCTAGAGGAGAACAGTGGCTTTTCCTATGCTTTCCCCCATGCTTTCCAAACTGTGTGCAGCTGCCTTTCATTTGCAGAAACCAAACTGGAACTCTGCTGTCAAGGGAGTTTGGGAAAAGTTTTCAGACTTCCAACCTTGCAGCACAGGGGACAGCTTAGAAAAATAGGGGCCCTGGTAAGCAATGTCACAGTCCACTTTGTATAATCAGCTTCCAAACAAACCCTTTTACCCAATATTTAACCTTTTAAACAATAAAAAGAATAGTATGCTTGAAAAACAAGAAGAACTACAATTCTCCAGCCTGTGGAAGGAAAACCACATTCACAGAAAATAGACAAAATGAAAAGGCAGAGGACTTTATACCAGATGAAGGAACAAGATAAAACCCCAGAAAAACAACTAAATGAAGTGGAGATAGGCAACCTTCCAGAAAAAGAATACAGAATAATGATAGTGAAGATGATCCAAGACCTCAGAAAAAGAATGGAGGCAAAGATTGAGAAGCTGCAAGAAATGTTTAACAAAGACCTAAAGAATTAAAAAACAAACACGTAGAGGAATTAAAAAAACAAACAAACAGAGATGAACAATACAATAACTGAAATGAAAAATACACTAGAAGGAATCAATAGTAGAATAACTGAGGCAGAAGAATGGATAAGTGACCAGGAAGACAGAATGGTGGAATTCACTGCCATGGAACAGAATAAAGAAAAAAGAATGAAAATAAATGAAGACAGCCTGAGAGACCTCTGGGACAACATTAAATGAAACAACATTCACATTATAGGGGTCTCAGAAGGAGAAGAGAGGAGAAAGGACCCGAGAAAATATTTGAAGAGATTATAGTCGAAAACTTCCATAACATGGGAAAGGAAATAGCTACCCAAGTCCAGCAAACACAGAGAGTCCCAGGCAGGATAAACCCAAGGAGAAACACACTGAGACACATAGTAATCATATTGACAAAAATTAAAGACAAAGAAAAATTATTGGAAGCAACAAGGGGAAAATGACAAATAACATACAAGGGAACTCCCATGAGGTTAACAGCTGATTTCTCAGCGGAAACTCTACAAGCCAGAAGGGAGTGGCATGATATATTTAAAGTGATGAAAGGGAAGAACTTACAACCAAGATTACTATACCCAACGAGGATCTCATTCAGATTCTAGGGAGAAATCAAAAGCTTTACAGACAAACAAAAGCTAAGAGAATTCAGCACCACCAAACCAGCTCTACAACAAATGCTAAATGAACTTCTCTAAGTGGGAAACACAAGAGAAGAAAAGGACCTACAAAAAAAAAACCCATAACAATTAAGAAAATGGTACTAGCAATATACATATAGATAATTACCTTAAACGTGAATGGATTAAATGCTCCAACCAAAAGACATAGGCTCGCTGAATGGATACAAAAACAAGACCCATATATATGCTGTCTACAAGAGACCCACTTCAGACCTCGGGACATACAGACTGAAAGTGAGGGGATGGAAAAAGATATTCCATGCAAATGGAAATCAAAAGAAAGCTGGAGTAGCAATACTTATATCACATAAAGTAGACTTTAAAATAAGGAATGTTATAAGAGACAAGGAAGGACACTAGATAATGATCAAGGGATCAATCCAAGAAGAAGATATAACAACTATAAATATATATACACCCAACATAGGAGCTCCTCAATACATAAGGCAACTGCTAACAGCTATAAAAGAGGAAATCGACTATAACACAATAATAGTGGGGGACTTTAACACTGCACTTACACCAATGGACAGATCACCCAGACTGAAAATTAATAAGGAAACACAAGCTTTAAATGACGCAACAGACCAGATAGATTTAATTGATATTTATAGGACATTCTATCCAAAATCAGCAGATTACACTTTCTTCTCAAGGGCACACAGAACATTCTCTAGGATAGATCACATCTTGGGTCACAAATCAAGCCTCGGTAAATTTAAGAAAATCGAAATCATGTCAAGCATCTTTTCTGAGCACAACGCTATGAAATTAGAAATCAATTACAGGGGAAAAAAATAAAAAACACAAACACATGGAGGCTAAACAATACATTACTAAATAACCAAGAGATCACTGAAGAAATCAAAGAATACCTAGAGACAAATGACAACAAAAACACAATGATCGAAAACCTGCGGGATACAGCAAAAGCAGTTCTAAGAGGGAAGTTTTTAGCGATACAAGCCTACCTCAAGAAACAAGAAAAATCTCAAATAAACAGTCTAACCATACACCTAAAGGAACTAGAGAAAGAAGAGCACACAAAACCCAAAGTTAGTAGAAGGAAAGAAATCATAAAGATCAGAGCAGAAATAAATGAAATAGAAACAAAGAAAACAATAGCAAAGATCAATAAAACTAAAAGCTGGTTCTTTGAGAAGATAAACAAAATTGATAAACCTTTACCCAGACTCATCAAGAAAAAGAGGGAGAGGACTCAAATCAATAAAATTAGAAATGAAAAAGGAGACGTTACAATGGACACTGCAGAAATACAAAGCATCATAAGAGACTACTACAAGCAACTCTATGCCAATAAAATGGACAACGTTGAAGAAATGGACAAAATCTTTGAAATGTATAACCTTCCAAGTCTGAACCAGGAAGAAATAGAAAATAAGAAAAAACCAATCACAAGTAATGAAATTGAAACTGTGATTAAAAATCTTCCAACAAACAAAAGTCCTGGACCAGATGGCTTCACAGGTGAATTCTATCAAACATTTAGAGAAGAGCTAACACCCACCCTTCTCAAACTCTTCCAAAAAATTGCAGAGGAAGGAACTCCCAAACTCATTCTATGAGGCCACCATCTCCCTGATACCAAAGCCAGACAAAGATACTACAAAAAAAGAAAATTATAGACCAATATCACTGATGACTATAGATGCAAAAATCGTCAACAAAATCCAACAACACGTTAAAAGGATCATACACCATTATCAAGTGGGATTTACCCCAGGGATGCAAGGATTCTTCAATATATGCAAATCAATCAATGTGATACACCATATTAACAAATTGAAGAATAAAAACCATATGATCATCTCAATAGATGCAGAAAAAGCTTTTGACAAAATTCAACACCCATTTATGATAAAAACTCTCCAGAAAGTGGGCATAGTGGGAACCTACCTCAACATAATAAAGGCCATATACAACAAACCCACAGCAAACATCATTCTCAATGGTGAAAACTGAAAGCATTTCCTCTAAGATCTGGAACAAGACAAGGATGTCCACTCTCGCCACCATTATTCAACATAGTTTTGGAAGTCCTAGCCATGGCAATCAGAGAAGAAAAAGAAATAAAAGGAATACAAATTGGAAAAGAAGAAGTAAAACTGTCACTGTTTGCAGATGACATGATACTATACATAGAGAATCCTAAAGGTGCCACCAGAAAACTACTAGAGCTAATCGATGAATCTGGTAAAGTTGCAGGATACAAAATGAATGCACAGAAATCTCTTGCATTCCTAGACACTAACAAGGAAAGACCAGAAAGAGAAATTAAGGAAACACTCCCATTCACCATTGCAACAAAAAGAATAAAATACCTAGGAATAAACCTACCTAAGGAGGTAAAAGACCTGTACTCAGAAAACTATACGACACTGATGAAAGTAATCAAAGATGACACAAACAGATGGAGAGACATACCATGTTCTTGGATTGGAAGAATCCATATTGTGAAAATATTGTACTATACTACCCAAAGCAATCTACAGATTCAATGCAATCCCTGTCAAATTACCAGTGACATTTTTTACAGAACTAGAGCAAAAAAATCTTAAAATTTTTATGGAGACACAAAAGACGCCAAAGCAGTCTTGAGGGAAAAAAGTGGAGCTGGAGGAATCAGACTCCCTAACTTCAGACTATACTACAAAGCTACAGTCATCAAGACAATATGGTACTGGCACAAAAACAGAAATATAGATCAATGGAACAGGATAGAAAGCCCAGAGATAAACCCACGCACCTATTGT